AGCTGCTCTGCCCCAGGCGTCCTGGATCCAGCCGCTGCTGAAACTGACCAGCGGCTGACTACAGGAAGCCCGAGGCAGAGTTGCTCTGCCCCGGGCTTCCTGGAATCAGCTGCTGATCAGTTTCAGCAGCAGCTGACTTGGGGACGCTTGGGGTTCTTAAGTTGAATCTGTATGTAAGTCAGAACTGGTGGTCAGTTTCAGCAGCGGCTGAATCTGGATGCCAGTTCCGACTTACATACAGATTCAACTTAAGAACAAACCTACAGTCCCTATCTTGTACGTAACCCGGGGACTGCCTGTAGCTAAGTATCCCATAACACCTTACACTTACTGAAGCAAAAATTTGGCCAGAGATAGGAAACTTGTCAAAAATCAAGATTCATTCAATGTCTTTGTACAAACTAGGGAGGTACCTTCACAGACCAATACCTGGAATGTGAGTTAGGGCAGTTAAATTTCGATTAATCAGCTAATCGAGTAGTCAATGGAATTTCCATTAAGTACTCAATTAGTTCATAAGGGGAGCGCTTTCTTCCTGCTGTGGGCCCCACTGGCGTGGGTTCCCCTCTGTGCCTCTTCCTTCAAAATGTACAAGAGCTGCAGGTGTACATTTCAAAGGGAGAGGAGGAGGAGTCAGGACTAGCATGAGCAAAACTGTTTCAATCCATGCTCGGACAGTTTCCCCCTGCCCTCTGTCTCCCCTGCCACCTGTGGAGATAATGCTGGGGGTAACCAGCTTTTAAGCTTGCTCCCCCAAGCACTGGCTCCTGTCCCCTCCCCACCTTTGAAGCTTCTCTGATACAGGCAGCAAGAGGTGAGAAACAACTACTTGAGTTCTTACTTGACTACCCAACAAGCATTTCCTTACTGGGTAGTTGACTAGTCACTTACATCCCTAATGTGAGTATCCAAAGCAAAGATAAGGACAGAGTGAGAAGTTTGAAAACTGGGACAAACTGATGGTTTGGGTTTTAGTGATGTAACTGGTAAAATCATATCCATAACACCAGCTGAAATGTGTAATTTAATGCTTTCTGCATGAGTGTAGCACTGCTCCAGGAGACTGCTCTTTGAAAATTTGTTCCCTGCAGAACATTTTTCCTGTACCAGATCAATAAACCTGACTGACACTGATACTTAATCTCTTGGATATATTTATTAATGTAACCAAAACAAACAATTAACTATACTATTTAACAGGCTAATGCTCCCCACTTATCTTTACCTATAGACCCATTCATTTATCAGTAAACTACTAATGTTACAGTATAAAGCAAGCTTCAGAGTGATCTTCGTATATTTATCTGTATTACTGCAATACCACCAGATCCAAAAAAATCAAAAAATCACGAGTCAGACTTTTAAAAAAAATATTACCCACAAATATATATATGGGCTGCGTCTAGACTGGCATGATTTTGCGGAAATACTTTTAATGGAAAAGTATTCTTGTGCAAGAGGGCTTATCCCTGAGCGGGAACGTGAAAGTATTTGTGCAAGAAGCACTGATTTTGTACATTACAAAGTCAGTGCTCTTGTGCAAATTCAAGTGGCCAGTGTAGACAGCTGGCAAATTTTTGCGCAAAAGCATGTGCTTTTGCACAAAATCTTGCCAGTCTAGACGCACCCACGGAGTATTTATTGAGACAGAGACAGAGAGAAAATATATATATCAGGGCTCAACAAATTATGTAATCTACTCGCCAGTGGCAAGTAGATTACAACCCTGAAGAGCCGGGTTCAGGCGATCTGCGCAGAACGATCTGCGCATGCACAGATCACTGGACAGTGCGGCTGGTGAGCGGGGCTCGCCATGGTTTGACGAGCTTTGTGTGTATGTATGCATGTATGTATAGAAACTCAAATATATATTCAGTTCTGGAGCTTTTGTTAAATCTTCTATTTGTGAGCTTTTAGAGTTTACTCACATCATGTTTTCAAGCTTGACTCTTCAATGCTGACTAGACACTCCCATTAAAAGATGCTGAAATTGTCATGTAATGACTGCAGGAGCTGGGGCTTTAGAAAGTCATCCATTGTTGTGGCATAAAACAGCAAGCATTAACAACTTCTAGAAGACCAAATTGCTGTAAAGTTATCATTTTTAAGCTTCGATGCCCAGAAGTTAAGCAACTCCAGCTGTCTGAGCTTTGTAAAGTTACACTTTTGCCTAAATTGCAATACTCTGGTGTCTAGATACCAGGATCCAACACAGGACGGAACACATTTAGTATTTCAGAAAGAAGATATTTAAATCCCCGCTTCATTAGCAATTTCAGACAGCTACATTTGCATCCCTATTTCGAACTGTAGACGTATCCTCCCATTCTTCCTTATTATTGCTATTGTTTTCCAATGCCCAACCATATTTAGGGGAAGCACTCCTTATTTGCAAGTGACAGGTAGTGCCATTCTTGGTACAGCACCTTTGGTATACAATTATTTGATTTCCTCTTGTGGTCTCTGCCATTCCCAGCATCACCTTTTTGCTACTCTTACCCCTCCCCAAATACTTTCGCATGGGATGCTGTGGGTCAAATGCCAATGGATGAAATGTCAAATTATACCAATAAAATAATGTATTCGAGTAATCGCATAAGCACAGAAAATCCCAGTGGTTATACAGTTACCTGCGCTGTAGGCTCTGCAGTTTAAAGCCGATAGGCTTTTGCTCATTGATTAATTGACAATTACATCCCTAGTCCTACCACTTGGTGTTCATTTTGCAAGTACAGGAGCACGTCTATATGGTTTGTAACTGATTGAAGCAACTGGGAACTGTCATTCTCATATTTTCTCTTGTATAACTAGTAGTGGTAGCTGTTCAAGTCCCACAAATATAGAAGAACCAATCACTCAGTCTTACTCTTTTCCTCAAAAAACCAATCACTCAGTCTTACTCTTTTCCTCAAAAAATAAGGGAGGGTTCGCCTTAAGAGCCGTGACCAAACTACGCGGAATTTGTATATCCTCTTTCGACACTTTAGCGTAGTCTAGATAAGCCCTCAGGAAACGTGATCCAAGCTGCCATAATTCCCCTAAGAGTGCAGGTATCCCTCATTGCAGCGCAAAAATGTTGCACAAGAAGTGTTCCAAAGAGTGGTGTGGTGGATGCTTATGTTCTAGTGACATTGTAATGTCAACATTTGTACCGAGAGTAAGTGCTGGCAAAACTTTAGTGTTCATATGCCATTTCAGGCTACATCAAGTTTGTCACCTGGGCTTCAAGGATATTATCATTTCTATCAGAGTCTCAAAATTTATAACCAAAAAACTGATCATCTCTCTAGGAAATTCACTTGGAATACTTTTCAAAAAATAACCTTAGTACACACTCTCAGCCAACCTCTACCCCACCACTGCAAGACAAAAATTGCAGCAGTGAACATCCTCATATGACTATCATACTGTTTCTTCTGGTTTTGAAAAGAGTTTCTTGCTTGAGACTGATTTCTTCTCCAAATAAATACAAAAGTGGATTAAAACCACCACCACATTTTCAAGCAAAAGAAGCTTTTGAAATGCACTCTATGTATCAAGTGTTTAGGAGAAGTCAATGGGAGCTTTATCATTTATTTCAGTGAACAAAAGCTCAGAACCTTATTGATTGGAAACAATAAGTAGCCTCACGGCACCCTAGAGACCAACAAAAATATATAGTATCATGAGTTTTCATGGACAAAACCCACTTCTTGCTTCCCCCCCCCCCCAGCACATCTGAAGAAGTGGGGTTTGCCCACGAATACTCATGATTCTATATATTTGTTAGTCTAAGGTGCCATGATGACAGGACTACTCATTGTTTTTAAAAAAATTACAAACTAACATGGCTACCCTCTGAGACTTAGTTTTAAAAAATCCTAATCAATAACACATAGTAAGAACAAGAGAAAAAAGTAGAGTGCCAATACCTTTAACAAATACATAAGTGAAAATACAGCTATTTAGTTATGTCAAGGAGTGTTCTTTTAAGAAGTGGAGGCAAAGACCATGAATAGTGGGAATTATTACTCCGACGCCACAGCAGATGAGAATAAGGTGCCTCTATTGCAGTAGATATTAATACTACAATATGAAGCATAACCCAATTTAATAAAAAATTAACAAGCATTAACCTTTTGGAATATTAGACATTGTTAAATGTGTTTGGGAAAAAAAAATAGGACTTTTTCAGTGTCATATCACCAGACCACAGTATGTCACAACTTGAGAAATTAAGAACAGCAGCAGCAAACAGATAAAGAACTTCTTAATTTTCATTTTCCTTTAGAGAGAGGGTGTGTGTGGGGGGGGGGGGGGGGAAGAGAAGATATTTGGGATGGATGGGAGCGGAAGAACTTACTTTCCCATCTACTCTTTCCAGTACATATTAGTAGAAACTAGGCATGAGTCTTGACTCTTATCTGAAAGTTGTGCATGTGCATTTCCAATCACCAGTACTGTTATATCAGCACATTTGCAAAATAGCAGGCATAGGAGGCAACACATGCCCACACCAGACAAGAGTAAAAAAAGAATTAAACACAATATTCAGTGTGCTTTTCAAGCATATTATTTTATGAAACTAAATATATTTTACTAGTTTTCAATATTATTTTAATCTGGTTTATTCAGCTTTTGACAGGACCTGACCAGTTACTACCCTCTGAAACAGCTCACCCAGAAGACTAACTGGGAATGGTAGAATTTATAGATCCCTATATTGAGACATACAGTTACTCATTGCCAATAAAATTTCCTTGTTTACTCAGACTAATGGTAGCACCAGCAGTGAGTTGAATTTACTTCAAAACAACACTTCTCTGAATACACTTACACTGCACTCCACCCTTTGCAAAAAATAAGTAGTAAAAAGTTTGTGATTAGCAACATTGCTAGATCTAAAAATGTAATCATTTATACGTTGTCATTCTGATGTCTTGCAAATTGTTTTACATCACTACTCATGATGACAAAGAGGTCATGTAACAAAGTAACTCTGCACTTTTCTAGCCTCAAGCTATATGGTTATGTTCTGTAATATTGTATTGACTAGCCTTTGCTATATGAACTCTCTTCTTTCAGGGTTTAATAGCTTTGATTCTGTTTAGTATTCATCTGACTACTCCTAACTCCACAGGAAGTTGATAATGGACCTGTTCCCTGCTAGTATAAAAAACTAGCTTGCTAGTGAACACAAGTATGGCTATAGTGAGTCAGAGCAAAAGTCCATCTAATCCAATAGCCTGTCTTCTGATAGAGGCCAGTGTCAGGTGCCTCAAAAGGAGTGAGCACAGGGAAACCTCAACTGACCCCTCCCTATCACCGATTCCTACCATCCTGGTTAATAAACATAAATGGACATACATCCCTGGATGTATTCTTTTTTGAAGCATGTTAGAATGGCTGTTTATTCAGAAGTTCTGGCTTTAAAAACAAATTAAACTTTTTTTTTTTTTGGCAATGGAAGCCAGTTATTTCGCAAGTCAGATTTGTTTTAAAGCGAGTGATTGGTTTAATCGTGTTTACCCTCCGGACGGCGTGTCAACATACCCCATGTCATTACGACCTCTTCTGGCAGGGTAAACAGCCCTCCCCTTAAGGCTCACCCTTCAGAGCTTATTTGCATTTTTTGGCTGATCGAAGAGCGCACAGCCCAGCTAGGACAGCACCCTCCTGTAAATCTGACTGATCTGGAACGAATATTTTTGAAGCGCGTTTCAAGCCTGGTTTAGAGCAACCAAACGCAAGCGCTGCGATTTCACCTGGAAGACCCCAGGGCAGTTTATATCGCCCCCTCCCTTGCTCCCGACAAACTCAGTGGCATTTCTGTGCTAGCCGCAAGCAAGACAACGAGAAAAACTTCAACTGCAGCGCGGCCCCCCTGAACTGGCCAGGGAGGCTCTGCCAGGCCAGGCCCGCCAGCTCGGCACTGGGCGGGCAAGCCCTGCTCGGGAACGCCGGGCTAGTGAAACACGCCTCCCCCCGCGGGAAGGGGAGCAAATGGCCGCCCCGGCTCTCACAGGAGCTCGCCGCCGTGCTCCCTGGGGAGCCGGAGCCAATTAC